AAACTTGAAAATGAGAGCCAAAATTGTAAAGAATAATTTAAAAACATCTTATTTTCTTGTATGCTGGCCTTTTATTTGCTTGGCTATTTTATTATTTTATTTTATTTTATTCACTGTTTAGCCATGCAGTAATTTTAAGATACTGCTTGCAGATGGCCACTTAAAAGATGCTATTGATAGATGCTCTGTGTAAGAGGCTACACAAGGATGTATTATAAAAGGCAGCCTCGCCAAGAGTTTGCTACACGAACAGTTTCAGATGAGACTACTTCACTTCACTATTGGGGTACAGTAAATAACTATCTCTTTACTTTTGCTTATCTATTGGAGACAAGAGTCACTTCCATGCTAATCAAACAAAGAGCTTGAGGACAGCTTCTGAATTAGCCTCTCTTATGTATCAGTACAATAGACAAATTTGCAACATTGTCAGCTTGGTCACCAAAGTAATTTTAATTAATCTGGTGATTTTCCTGAAAGGCAAAGGAGATCAGTGCTCTAATGTTTTCAATGGATTTATTTCAGCTTTTCTTTCTCTTTATTTGGAAGTGATAACTTCCATTTGTTATGCTTCTGGTGAGATACAGGTCAAAAAGCCAAGAATATACCCACCCACAATGTTACTTCTAATCTTTTCCATCCATGTGCAGATTTTTCTCTATATATGTCTAGAATAAATGTTTTATATGCATTCAGGCATATGTGAATGTGCACTAAGGATGTAAAATTTTGATTATTTGGGCTAATCAAATAGTCGATGCAATCTGCATCTAGTTGATAAGGACTCTTCTGTTACACTTCAAAGGCGAAAGCGCTGCAGGGAGTACCAGGCCAGTGGGGGACTCAAGCAGTCCCCCGTTGACACCATGCTCCCCGTGGCGTTTCACAGTGGCAGCGCTGCATGGAGGCTGGGGCCAGCTGGGGAGTGCACAGCTGACCCCAGGCTCCATGCGGTGCTGCTGCTTAAGTGCTGCGTGCAGCCTGGGCCAGCTGGCCCCAGGCTGCAAACAACATTTCAAAGCAGCAGCACCACGTGGAATACAGGTTCTTGCCCCAGGCTCCACATGGCACTGCCACTTTGAAGCACCCCCTCCTCCTTCCCCTTCCCTTGCTGCCTCTTTATTATAGAGGCAGCAAGGGGGCGGGGTGGAAGCGACTAGTCAACTAGTCTGTTGACTATCCGATAAGCATTTGCTTATCAGATAGTTGACTAGTCGTTCACATCCCTAATGTGCACCACCAGTAGAAATACAACACCTACCTGCGGGTGCTCTGCTAATCAGCTGGGCAGCATTTGAAACCTCCTGAGCATCTGTACAAGCAAATACTTACAGGTAACTCTGATCCTCTGCCCTACTAGCTTGCTATCATATGTTCTATGTATAGATTTAAAACAAAGAGCCAGATATCAATCACTTGCCTTATTTACCTGTAAAGTGCCAAACACAGTGATGATACTACATTAAAAAGCAGGGTGAACTTGTTTAACTTTAAAATGAATTCAAACTAGATAGAACAGGTGCAGAGATGGACTACTCAGATGATTGAAGGATGGAAAACATAAATTATGAAAGGAGACTCAAAGAGTTTGGCTTATTTAGCCTATCAAAGAAAAGATGGAGGTGAAATAAACTTACTCTCTATAAACACATCAGAGGGATAAATGCCAGGGAGGGAGAGGAATTATTTAAGCTAAATGCTGATTTGGACATAAGAACAGATGGATATAAACTGACCATTCAATAAGTTTAGGTGAGGACTTGTAACTATCAGAGGAATGAAGTTCTGGAACAGCCTTCAGTGGGGGCAAAAACTTAACTGTCTTCGAGACTGGTAGATTAGTTTATGAAGGGGATAGTTTGACGGGACTGCCTATAATGGCATGTGGCGCATTAGTAACTGCCAGTAGCAAAAATCCCCAACCTATGGAGATAGGACACTAGATGAATCATAGAATCATAGGACTGGAAGGGACCTCGAAAGGTCATCGAGTCCAGCCCCCCGCCCTCAAGGCAGGATCAAGCTCCGTCTACACCATCCCTGACAGATGTCTATCTAACCTGTTCTTAAATATCTCCAGAGAGGGAGATTCCACCACCTCCCTTGGCAATTTATTCCAATATTTGACCACCCTGACAGTTAGGAATTTTTTCCTAATGTCCAATCTAAACCTCCCCTGCTGCACTTTAAGCCCATTACTCCTTGTCCTGTCCTCAGAAACCAAGAGGAACAAATTTTCTCCTTCCTCCTTGTGACACCCTTTTAGATATTTGAAAACCGCTATCATGTCCCCCCTTAATCTTCTTTTTTCCAAACTAAACAAGCCCAGTTCATGAAGCCTGGCTTCATAGGTCATGTTCTCTAGACCTTTAATCATTCTTGTTGCTCTTCTCTGTACCCTTTCCAATTTCTCCACATCTTTCTTGAAATGTGGTGCCCAGAACTGGACACAGTACTCCAGCTGAGGCCTAACTAGTGCAGAGTAGAGCGGCAGAATGACTTCATGAGTTTTGCTTACCACACACCTGTTGATACAACCTAGAATCATATTTGCTTTTTTTTTGCAACAGCATCACACTGTTGGCTCATATTCAACTTGTGGTCCACTATGACCCCTAGATCCCTTTCCGCCATGCTCCTTCCTAGACAGTCGCTTCCCATCTTGTATGTATGGAACTGATTGTTCCTTCCTAAGTGGAGCACTTTGCATTTCTCTTTATTAAACCTCATCCTGTTTACCTCTGACCATTTCTCTAACTTGTTAAGGTCATTTTGAATTATGTCCCTATCCTCCAAAGAAGTTGCAACCCCACCCAGTTTAGTGTCATCTGCAAACTTAATAAGCGTACTCTCTATCCCAATATCTACATCATTGATGAAGATATTGAACAGTACGGGCTCTAAGTTACTACAGACAATTCTTTCCCAGGAATTTGGATCATGGGTCTTGCCCACATGGCTTCAGGTCTAATTGACTGGCACATCTGAGAATGGGAAGAATTTCCTCAAAGATCAGATTGGCAGAAATCCTGGAAATGTTTTGCCTTCTTCTGCTGCACAGTGCACACATCATTTGCAAGTTTAAACTAGTGTAAATGGTGTAATCTCTGTAACTAAGTTTTCAACCTTGATCTGAGGACTTCAGTGACCCAGGAGTGGGTGGATGAGCTTCTGTGGCTTTCAAAGTGCAAGAGGTCATACTTAATGATCAAAACAGTGCCTTCTGACCATAAAGTATAAATCTATGTGCTCTCAACGACCTTGTGCCTCCATATTAAAGAATATAAGGAGGTACACACCTGACACCACTCAATTCCTTCTCAATTACCAAGCAGAGCCTCCACAGCCAAGGGGATGGAGTGTGGGAGGTAGACTACTGAAAGGGACCAAACATATTGAAGAACTTGAGTTATTGTAAGGTAAGTAACTGCTCCTTCTTCTTTAAGCCTACGTACCTACAGCAAAGACTCCCAAGCAGGAACTCAAAGAGGAGGCAGGTGAGTGCTGAGAAAGCAAGTTTAGGATAGTTTGGAGTACTGAGCTGAAACCCGGAGCTATTGGGGAAGTGGCACTGGAGGGCAATAAGTAGTATGAAGATTGCTTGATACTGCTTGTGGGAAGAGACATTACAAGCCCAGAAGGGAAAACCATTTGGTAACCTGGCCAGAGGGCCAAGCCACGAAGAGGCAGCAGAAATTCTTGGAGCAAAAGAAGGGCTGCAGACTCCAAAAGAGGCAGATCTCTGTGTGAATCTGTGGGAAGGGGGATCCCTCTTGTGAGCTATTAGAGTGACCAAAAGGAGGCACCATCCTAGTGTTGATTGGTGCACCCTGTCACACAGAGCTTATACTCCAGGATCTTTGTAACCCAAGAGCTAGCAGACCAAAGCAAAGAGGAGAGAAAACAGAAAAAAAGGAGGGGAACCCCTTCTAAATACAAATGTATAGACTGAAGAAATAAAAATAGCTACAAAAATAAGGAAACATTTCTAGAATGATAAACTAAGAAAGGACAGAAGATGAGCATAAACAGACATGTGATTGTTCCATTGAGTTGCAGGTGGTTGATTAGGAACAGCAGCAGAAGACCTGTGCTTCCCATATGCATTGTTTGGAGGTACAAGGTGCCACTCTGAGCAGGTGCAGGTCTGTGGATGTTGTTTTACAGTTTCCAGTCAAGAGTTCACAGGCACATGAGTAGGGATGTTAAGTATCAGTTAATTAACTAATCAAGTAGTCAATAGAATTTCGATTAGTTGATGGGGGGAGGGGCGATCCCGCTGCAGCTCTGCACTTTAAATGCAACTGTTCAGTCTTGGCTCATGCTGTCCCCGGGATACTACTACTACTTGTACCTCACAATCTTGTACCTACTTGTTACGTCCATACTGCAATTGCATTTCGAAAGAAATTTGAAAGAACAGAGGGGTTTTTCCGACATTGTTAATTTTTCACAAAAAGGTACGTATGGACAGGGAAGAGGGAGTTCTTTTGAAAGAAGAGGAAAGAGGAAAAAGCATAGGAGCCCTGGTGTCCATTCCATCCACAGCAATCACAGCTTAAATGTGAGAGAGGGTCTATTCAGTGTGGATGCTATCTTTTGAAAAAGCAGATGGCTTTTTCGATGCACTTTTTCAGTGTGGACGCTCTCTTTCGGAAGATGTTTTTCTGGAAGATCTCTTCCGAAAGAAACCTGAAGTCTAGACATAGCCTTAAAGTGCAGAGCTGCAGTGGGGTTGGCTCTTGGGGGCTGATACAGAGGCAGAGGGGGAAGAAGGGAGTGACTAGTCGAGTACTCACTCGACTAGTCACTCACATCTCTAATAGTGAGCACGCACAGAACATATACTTGAAGAAGGGAAGTGTTCACCTCTCTATTCTACTGCAGATTTGAAGAGAAGCAGGTAAAAGCCATACAAGTTTGCCCAAAACACAGGAAGGTATCCTGTGATCCTTCTGACAAGACATCAACCTTAATTATGAATGACCAGTATGACTTACTTGAGACATTCTTTCACGGTGCTTGGCTTCAAGTCTCTCTTTGGCTTTCTGGAAATGGGCATGTTCATTCTCATCACCAGGCGTCTCCAAGTATTTGTCAACAGCATCAGGAGTGCTGGCAGCTGTGGTGGGGACTAGGGTAGGAGTTTTATAGGAGAAAAGGGGGGGAAAAGCACAAATTTTCAGTTTAGTATAAATAAAGTTATTTAATACTGGAACAAATATTATTCTTTTCCCAGTATAACGAACCCAAGTAACTTCAGTCAGGAGACTGGCTTTATAAAACTTCTATATCAACTATATTAACACAGGACAAAGGTTTAACATTTTTGTTAGAACTCGGGAAAAACTCTTTCACTCAGTACAATGTTACTTAACAGATTAGGAACTATTGGCAAAGGAAACATGCAAAGAGCAAACACACTTGGCACTACCTCAGGTACATAACTGACAGTAGACACATTTTTCAAAATAACAGGCTCTATTTTTAAAGATTAAAAATGCACAACAAAACACACACACACACACTTTAAAGCATCTACAGAGACCATATAAGTCACAACCACACTGTAGCACTGAAGGGTTAATAAGAACACTTTTAAAAAAAATCAACCTATTCTTTAGTGATTCAGTAGCAATTAACAACTGCTAAGCAATAAGGGGAAAATATTTCTATTAGAAATTTACCAAAAATCATGGCCTCTACGACCTCTCTTATATTGCAATCTTTAGGGTTATTCCATAATTTTTATTGCACTCTACTATATTTTGAACATTTTAAGATTTCCTTTAAACAAAACGCACTTATTGCAAAGTACAGCTGTAACAACAGAAACAAATACAACCCTCCAGGGAAAAAGTGGAACCCTTCTCTAGTATGTTTATATGTAGTCTTTAAAGCCTGATAGTAGTAGTAATAGTAATAATGATAATCTAAAAATACAATTTCTTTTTATATTGAACTCTCCTGTTCTTTGTCTGAAATCTGAATGTGAATGGAATTTTTAGTTATACAATTACAATGCCAAAGAATCAAGAAATGTAAAAGCTGTATTATTTTTACTACTGTCATCATCATGCAATTATGATGTAATGTAAATATAATACAGTCACCTACACATACTCATCCACACTGATAGTAGCCAACATACATTTATTAATTAATATTTTGTACATATGCCCGGCTTTATAAATGGTATTTCTTGCAACAATCCTGTGAGGGAAGTAAGGAGTTATCCCTATTTTACAGATAATGAAACTGAAACATAAAAGGATCACTTATTTAGCCTAACAACATGTAATCAGATAGTTCAAGAGACAAGATTCAAACTCATAAGAATTACTGGCTCCTGATTCTTTGCTTTTTTAATCAGACCAAGCTGTCCCCAGTTGTCACAGTACTAAACATGAAAGTTTAAACTCACAAACATACCACTTACATTGTATGTGCTGGATGCCCATGCTGCTTTTAATTACAGTACAAAATTTTTATAGATGTGTCTTAAATTTATAAGATGCTTTCCAAATGAAAGATAAGGCAAATACAGTAAAACTCCATTAGTCCGGCATCCAATGCTCCGGGACTCCTGATGGTTCGGCACCATCAGGAACCCGGAAGTGCTGGGGCAGCCGGACAGGCTTCCCCCATTCAGCTGCTGCTGAAACTGACCAGCAGCTGAATCGGAGAAGCAGGAAGCAGAGGAGCTGGGAGTGCTGCCGGGTTGGTCTCGTAGCGCCGCCCCTGGGGGCTGCGGGACCAACCCGGCAGCACCCCAGGCGTCCTGATTCAGCCGCTGCTGAAATTGACCAGCGGCTGATTCCAGGAAGCCCAAGGCAGAGCTGCTCTGCCTCAGGCTTCCTGGAGTCAGCTCTTGGTCAATTTCAGGAGCAGCTGACCTGGGGAAATTGACCAGCAGCTGACTCCAGGCAGAGCAGCTCTGCTTCAGGCTTCCTGGAGTCAGCTGCTGATCGGTATCAGCAATGTCTGACTTGGGGACGCCTGAGGCAGAGCAGCTGGGGTGCTGCCGGGTTGATCCAGTAGCGCCAAGAAGCAGTGCTGCGGGACCAACCCAGCAGCACCCCAGCTGCTCTGCCCCAGGCGTCCCCAAGAGCAGCTGGAGGGC